AATCCACATTCCCTCCCCACCCCACTCACCTGCTTTCCAGCTCCGTTGTCCTGTGCAGGGAAACAAAAGAAGACCCAGATGATCAGCTGGGGCTCGGGAGGCAGAGAATAGATGGGGGAGGGGCCAGTCAGAGGTGGTATTTGCCGGTTCTCCAAACTGCTCAAAATTTCTGCTACCGGTTCTCCAGAATTGATCAGAACCTGCTGAATACCACCACTGACATAGATAGAATCAAAGCATTTCTCAGAGTAAGTCTCCAGTGCTTCCTTCATTAGACGTACAAATTTTGCTCCTTACTGAATTTGTTTCTAATTTTCAGCATTCAGTATTCGACCTATGCTAAATTGGTCTTTACTAGGTAAACATTTGATCATTTTGAATGATCATTTTGAATCTCTTGGGAACAAAGTATGTATCAATTAAAATATGTAAAATGATTGATATATAGTTCTCAAACTCCTTTTGGGGATAGAGTGAAGTTAATAGGGAGGGGTTACATTTTTAAATTGTCCATTTATTTACACATTAAACATTGTTGCAATATATGCACACATGATGTACAAGCCCTGTCAAACTCAATGGAGGTTTTTGTAAGGTTGGCAAGCAAACGAAAGCATTCCATTGCTTCCATTCTTGACTTGAACTAATGAGCAAAATCCACAAAGTAGAATGTGATTTCTTTCTAAGTACTCCTACGCAAATATCTAAATTACATATAACACGTAAGTTACATATAAGTTACATATATACACGTGACATACACGTAAGTTACATACACGTAAGTTACCTATATCTAACTGGCCTTCAAGGAGACGAAAGTATCATTCTTGGCTTCTCTCCTTTTGTGTTCTCCATGCATAGCATCTCAAAGCAATGCTATGGGGCAGACTATTCAGAGGCCTCAATTTACTCAACTAGCTGCAACTCTTGAGTAGCAGTTTCAGCATTGGCCTCCTTAGTCCTTGTCTATCATCAAACTGATTATTTTACAGTGCTCTGTATTCCTCTGTTTAATGCTGCAGCATATGGCTATTGTGCTAAAATATGACACTGAACACGTAGCACTGTATATACTATAAAAATTGTCATTCAAGATTTAATTAGGCACCTGGCGTTCTCCTCAGTATCCTACCCGATGTTTCAGAGACCTGCAGACTTCACCTCTCTTTTCTCAGCCATTCCTTTTAAAAGCTTCATTTAGTTCAATCCATCTGGAAGAAAAAGAACCCTCTTTGCCAATTATTGTAGTTGTTCTGCTCTTGTCTTCTTGCCTGCTGCAAAAAAGCTGCTGCACTTTTGCTATCGTTACATCTTCATGTGTCAGACTTCCTCTGATTTCTGCTGTTTTTGCAATATCTGCCCAAATGGCTCTCTGTTTCTTGGAAGAGTAAGCAGTGGTGGTGATTAAAAGGTTTTACTGTATGCATATCTTCCTGGCTGGGCCATTACTTAGAAACTTAGAGGAAGGGGGCGGTAGGAATAACTCCGGTTATGTAGCCAATTTCAACCATATTCCTGCCGCACCTAATAGAGGAATGGATCTGTAACATATTGCATAACAATTATTGCCTGGTTAAGCCCTATGAGAAATTCTATGTACCCCAAACCTGTGTTTTAGTCTTTGTTGTATCAGCCTATGATCTCTTGACACAAATAAAAGCTGATTCACATGACTTTCTTATTTTAAATTATATACTGGTACATTTTTAATATTATACATTAAGGCCTAATACTGTATACATGAGTAGCTATATACGAATACAAATAGTTTTCATATATTTCCTTATGTAATTTAATAGGAGAAAAAAATACAGCTCAGACATAGTGTCATTTGAAGGTTAGACATGGGCAGAAAGCCCTACAAAGGAGTTTCATCAGCAAGAGGGGAATTTTTACCTGAATGGACCAGTTAGAAAACGATGCAAGGCTGAATTGCCAGCATGGGTGTCCTTGTCAGGGAAATAACAACAACAGACACAGCCTAGAAGCCACTGGATCAACAAAACTGATTCACTCTTTGATTCTAGGACTGGGTTCCATTCCTGTTCCAACCTCAGGTTTAGTCCATTATTTTTTAAAAAAGTCTTATTTGAGAAAAGGTCTGTTTCCGGTGACTTAATGCACATAGGTAATGTCTTGGCAACAAATGGAAATGGTTTGTCATTGCTTATCATGATGTTTTTCAGCTTTCCATCCTAGAGAATTTCCAAAATCCAAGTACAAACCAGTTCTGACCCTGCTTAGCTTTCTTTCAGCCAAAGTCACAAGGTGTTGCCATCAATGGTTATGTTAAAAAGGAGAGGACATTCAGGAAAATAATAATAATAATAATAAAGGCAACGAGAATCTTTCTTCACATAAGCTAGCACCATTTTGAAAGTGGTAGACAATCTGTTAATTTAGCCCATGTTAGTTCCCATTCTTCTTGAGAGCATTGTGCCTATGCTGAAATGTATGTTAATCCTTTGTAGCTTATTAACTGTAGAACAAGCCTACATTTTTTTCCTAATGCCAGCACCAAGCAATATTCACTGGGTTCTCAAAATGCTGCCTTTAGACAATCTACCTTTCTATCCACAGGCTCCTTGTTCTTCCTTTATTTAAGGATTCAGTATTTCTTTAAAGGAAATCAGCAGGCAGCAAAGCAAAGACTGACTTATGAGAGTGCTCAGGGGCCCTTCATGTACACCAAACAAATTCTTAGAAAATAAGAAAAGATGGGGGGCAGCAGCAACAAGCAACGTTTGAAAATATCTGAAAAATCCAGAAATAAGAGGAAGGAATGGAGAGCATTCCAGGAAGCTTCAGGTAATGGTGAGAAGCAATATCGTTCAATTGGCTTCTAGTGGCCAATGGCTTGCTGTGCCACTGTGGCAGTTATTTTGTGAGAATACCAAGGATATGGTTTGTGGTAATATAACCTATTGATCATTTTATCATTTTCTGTAAGGCCTTTGTATAACTAGCAGTAAGTCTAGGAGATGTGGGCATTCTTGGTGGGGGTAGGAGTATCTTTGCTCAGAGTGCCTCATTCTGTTTTGATTCTGCCAGTTTAGAAGGAATAGGAAAATGGGTGAAAGTTCAAGATACACAGTTGTGCTTTCTCATGGGACTTTCCAAACTTTCCCATGAGACTTTCTGTGGCTGTATGATCTCATCCTAGCAAGGTAACATCTGGGACTTTCCAAGATTGTGTGTTCTCATGCTGGTGAAGTAATCTCCTGTTGAGGTCATTGTTTTCTGAATATGCATACTGTATTTTGCTTGTGTTTTTTCTCAATAAATACTGCTACCTGAGTTCTCTCAGGGTTGGCATTTTTCTCAGAGACAGTTCCCTGTGTCTCATTTCAATGTCAAACCACCATAATGGTTTCATTCCAAGTACTTCTACCAGCCCCAAATATTTGGGAACTTAGACTTGAACTAAACTCGAGCCTGTGAAAGTATAAGCACTTCTTGACAGCATGCTGTTTAAAAGCCAGTCAAAAAGTTCATTTTTAATAACTAGGAACGGAATATTCACCCCTAGATTAATGAGTCATAGTCTTTAAAAGAAAAAGGAAAGGAAAACATATGTCTGGTTCAATCTCTCATTTGGAGAAGAATTGTCAACCTTTATCTCAGTTGATGAAGGGAGAACCAGCACAAATGCTGGACTGAGCAGATACAGTCTTGTAGATATCATTCTATTATGTAATGCCATTATGGTCTATGACTAGACACTGGAAGAGAAGCTATTGGTAGTCACTGTGCAGGACATACTCACCATTCATTTTCAGGTCAAGTAACTCCAGTTCTGCCTCTATGCTCTCTATGATCATAAGGTGAGAATAAAAACAAAATTGAGAAATTATTTGTCCTTTTCTTCACAAGTTCCATTTCTCTCAGTACCATCAGATATTGTCCCTCATTGCTTAGTCATGTAAACATATGCAAGCATTATATTGCTTATTGTGTGGACTTCATGGATTAATCAATCCTATTATTGGTTGACTATGTTAAGGATACTACCACATTAAGCCTCATTCCTGCATAATGAGTTGGAAACACCATTCAGTAAGTCAAACAGGCATTGCCAGTTACTTATTTACTTATCTATCCTTACTTAAAATGTTCTTATTACTTATCTATCTTATTACTTATCTATCCTTACTTAAAATGTTCTTCAATTTATAAAATACCTGCTCATTTCTCATTCCCATTTGTTTGGAGCTCTCTTAAAACCAATTTGAAATAACCAGATTAATTGAGGAAAATTAGCACTTTGCTATTTCCAGTCTTCTATAAACAATCATAAGGTGAATTTTTCAGCGATGGCTTTGAATTAATCCCACCCCGTTCAAGTCCCATTCAATTGTGATTTTTTTTTCCTTTTTATGGATATTTCTAAAATAAAAGAGAAGCTTTTAAAATTTTTACCAGCTGCATACAAAGGGGAAAAGTAACTTTTGTAAACTTTGCATGACAAACTCTCGTTTTCAATATTTTCTCTTCTATACATTTACTGTCTGTGTGGGTCCCTGTACTGTTTGGAAAGGATAAAGGGAACAAAGTGACTGCTACCAACTGGAACATCAAGTGAAGAGTCTAGCTGGAAAGTGCAGTTCTTTTAAAAAAAAATCAAGTCCACCTTAAGGCAGTGGGATTGTTCCACCTTAAAAGTATTAACCCTGAGCTAGAGCCCAACCCTTTGCCTGATGCTGATGCTGCCCGATTCCTGCAGCAGGAGGAGGGGGATACAGGCACTGCAAGCAGCATCCCAGGGTACCACAGGCACGGAAGACTTACCAGCCCAGCTGAGAGAGCCAACTGCTCTGCTGCTGTGGGGTGACGATCTAGGAAAGGCTTCCCCTTTGTGATCCTTCCTTCGAGAGTGCCTGTGTGCAACCTGCTTTTAAGCCTGTCTCTCATTTTGCTTGGGAATTGCATCTCCCACTGCTCTCCGCTCCTTCTAGCTACAAAAGCCGCACACCAGGACAGAGCTCCATTGCCCAGCCAGCATGACTACCGAACTCAACGAATGCAGCATCAAGGTGCTCTGTAGGTTCCGGCCCTTGAATCAGTCGGAGATCATACGGGGAGATAAATTCATCCCGGTTTTCCAGGGCGATGACACCGTCATCATTGGGGTAAGCAAACACTGGAGGTGAGAGAAAGATGTACATTTGTCTGGAAATGCTTCAGAAATGAAAGGCTTTCACTTCTTGATCGTCTTAGCAAGGCCTGTTCTGGATGGCAGATTGCCCTTGGGTACAAGAGCCAGTTGCTTTTAAAGCCAGCTGAATTCATGCTTAAATTCAGCTCTTTTGTGTGCTAAGGGGCCATCCAGGTGGAATATTTTATATCTTCCTGCCAGCTTAAAAACTATCATCATAAACAAAGGCGTATCTCCCATCTGTCCAAGGGGAAATTGATAATGGTAGAAAGATGCTTTGAGGTTTTTATTTGTGTTTGCATCCTTGAAGCCACTGGGTGTGGCTACTAGCTCTTGGTTTGACTCCTGGGGGGAAAATAATAATAATAATAAAGGAAGCTCTTAGAATTAGATGAAAAACAAAAAATTTCATAGCAAATGCAATGTTGGTTTCTCTTTATCAAATCTCTTTGCAAGTCCTGTATTTTCTTCTCTTTCCAAGCCTTAAAATTATTCTGTCATTTCAACTTTAAATTATGCTGCTCTTTCTCCTCCACATCCCCATCTACAGAGTATTCGCTCAAAGATGAAAAGTTGATATCTAATTTGATTTTCCAACATTAGCAATTGTGATTTTTTTTCTGGCAATCGCCGCTGCATCCTATCCACCTCCCTAATACCCCATGTCCAGTTCCATTCATAAGTATGAGAATACAAATTATGCAGGTGCTTGCTAAATCGTCTGCAGATTGTTTACACATGTCTGACAACGCCCCTGAAGCTTGTCCTTGGGGGGTCTCTGTGTTTGTTTCTTTTTGTTATAATTCTGGTTTTTTTGTCCTTGATTGTTTGGCTATTTCGGGAGCTAAATATAACCTGCAAGGGAAGGAGTCATGATTGATTTTGCTTGGAATAGAAACGTATATGCTGTTACTATGTTGAAGAATGATGTTTAAACCCCCTCCCCCTCTCATAATGGACCAATGCCACAAGCCATTATTTTATCAGCTGATTGCAATTGTGGGACTAAAAAGTGTGTATGTACAAGAAGTAGCTAGTTGTCACTCTGCAGACAGCCAGCAGATGAATAATCTACGTCAATAGTCTTTAAACTATGAGTTAGGGTTCATCCACTGGCCACAAGTGATAGATATTAAATTAAAATTAGTCTGGTTCCACCCAAGGTGACCCAGCTCCTCGTGGTATATGAGAGGATACAAACTCCCAAATAGTCTACTTACTGCACATGAATTTATGCTTCCAAGATCTCTCCCGATTCCCTTGCAACAGAGAAAGTTCTCAATCAGCATGGCCTGAGTGCTTTCCTATTGCGCTGGTAAATTAAGGCCTGTGATCTCCGATTTATTTTCCACTTGGATGTCAAGTTATTTTCTCTTGCCTTGGCTTGGAAAAGGCTGGCATGTAAAAAAAAAAAAAAAAAAAAAGCCTTTTTGATTTGATCCTGCTGCACTGCAAAGTCATTCCAGTTGGTGGGTTCAGCAGAGATTTTCAGTGGAGCTCCTGAACGCGATGGGCCTGCGTTCACAATTTGTGTCATTTCTTTCTTTATAAAGCCTGAACTAGAGTTGTCTGTTCGTTTGAACTACAATATCAAACTATTCGACATTGCTTAAGCTCTATTCCAGTTTATCACCAGATCAGTTAAGACTGGCTTATTGATGGATTGATTCATTTAGGCAGTTGAAGTTGGGTAGATTTTTTTCCCCCTCTTTCCTGAAAGACAACCCCATTCTTCTTCCTCTGGAAGAAAACCACACTAAGAAAACCACACTAAGAATTTCGCTGCAGAGAGAGCAGGCAGCAGGATGCCTGGGCTCAGCTGCTTGGTCATCCCTCAGAGCAATGACTAGGAGCCTTCCTTCCTAGGTACCACTCCCTTTCTTTGTGTTCAGCTCTAGGCCATTCCTGAATCCATTTCTAGGTTACATCTGTGTTTTGATGCCGCCATCATCTGGATCTTCTGCCCTTTACTGCTCTTTCCAGTTGTGATTACACATGGCATTTTTTTTGAGGGGGGGGGGGGTCTCCTTTGCCTGTGGCAACAGGTAAAGCCACTGACTTTACAATCAACATCTATCTGCTTGCATCCATTCCAGGACACATGGAACGAGCAATAGTGATGATGTATTTATTGCTTGATTTGCTGATTTCTTTTCCATTGATGCCGAACCAATTTCCAGCTGGAAAGAGCTTGTATTAATAATTGATTTTATTACACATCAAGGAAAACAAGTCTGTTTAGCTGTAGCTTTTTTTCTCCTGAAATATTCTTGGAAAATTATTCTCATATCTTTTTATGAATGTTTAGTCCTGGCAAAAATGGTTAAAACGCTGTTGCTTTTGAACATGTTCTAAGGAATCTTCATGACTACATACCTTTTTTTTTATCATTATCTCTTGCTATAAAATAGAAGTAAACCGTATGCAATGCATGACCCTCTTTTCCGAAACCCTAATATTTTCCAGAAATTGTGTTGCTAAATACAAGCAATTGATCACCACAAAATGATGAAAGTATTTCTCTCCATTTTTCAGTAGATGTAAAACAAATCCCATGTCATGCATTGCTCTGTACCAATACAACCTAGATTTTTTTAAAAAATCCTAAAGATAACTAACCAACCCTTCCCCCCCTTGACAACATCACTTTACCATTTGACCCATTTCATTAGTTTGATCCCACAGAAAAAGGGAAAAATTAAGGATAGTCTTGCATCATTGAAAAATGTCTAGATACCGTTCTAAAAGACTAGGCAGCAACATGTACATAAGTTTCTCTATCCTGGTTAATATCTAGTCGAGGCAGATTCTAAACCTATCATCTTTACAGTCATAAATAATGGAAGAGCTGGTTGGGGTAATATTCAAAACAACTGGAGATTATTTCCTGATGGAAGGCTGGTCTTGGATTTGGTAGAAACCTCTATTTCTGGGAGGCATGTCACAGCTAAATCAGTCATGCAACAAGCAATATGATTTACCTATGTTTGGAATATTTTAGTCTTTGAAACTATTCAAGTGTGTGGACCTTTCTGGTATAAATATTCCATGTGGGTAAATGGAAACTTAAAAGGGTGCGTGGTGCAACTTAGAAAATGGACCTTCTACTCTACCAGCAGAGTCAGCAAAAAGAACTGCCCCAGTACTTATTCCTAATCTACTTCTTACCAAGTCCCATCATTCATTCTTTTCTTCTCTCTCTTGACATGGGTTGGAATTCACTTTCACCTTATCTTGAAAAGGGGAGAAGGAACTTCGTGATAGCTGGTAAGAAGGCCCTCTCCCTGCCTTTTGAATTTTAACTACTTTTGTCTCCTAATATAATATTTAGTTTTTATGTTTTTAGATTTTACTTTTTTTTAAATAAATCATTTTTATTGTTTTTTAATATACAACAAATCATTCCGTTTCAACTGTGCGCCGACTTGGGTACATATTTCAATTATTTAAACATTATAAATTATATTCTTCTTATCAAATCTAACAATATATCAATGTTCCCATATATATTCCCATATACATAATAATATCACACATTATAACTTTGCTTAAATTTCTTTAATTGCTCTATAAATACATAAAAATTGTTTAGGTTGTTCTAGTCTCTATCCACTGATAAAACATATTTCATACCATGTAATATTCAGTTTCTTCTTTTTCTTTAATTTCTAGTGTCAATCTATTCATTTCTGCACATTCAAATATTTTTTCCCTCTATCGGTATTTTATCATTCTTCCAATTTTGGGCAAATACAATCCTAGCCACTGTTAAGACATGTATAATTAAGTAAATATTTTTACTATAACCTTCTGGTACCATTCCTAATAGGAATATTACAGGTTTCAAATCTATACATTGTTTAATCATTTTTTCCAAATGTGTGTGTCCAGTACCTTTTGACCTGTTTTTAGATTTTACTTATACACTGCCCAGAATCTCTCTTTGAGGGAGATGGGCAATTTCTAAGTTTGATATATAAATAAATAGACAGAAGCAGCATATGCATTTGTAGAAAAACTCTCGTATTTTTTATTTATTTAACGTTTAATTTGTGCTTATTTGGTTTAGTCACAGTATTTCAGTACTGTACCACATGGAAATAGAAAATTCTGTTGTAGTTTTTAGAAAGCCCTAAAACGGTAAAATATTGAAAGCAGAATAAAAAAAATAGCAACAGAATACAGCGTAAAACTAGCAACAGGGAGCAAAATACCATAAACAGGACTAAGGAACAAACAAACTTTTAGACTGAAGTTATTTGAAAGATAAAAATACTGCTAGAACAAAAACAAAAGTCAGAAAGTATAGACAATGTGCAAATCGCAAATCCCTCTGGGGAAATCATTCTTGCGAGAAGGATGATACCACTGTAAAACCATATTTATAAAAATCACCCTACTCACTAGTGGTGGGATTCAAAAAATTTTACTACCGGTTCTGTGGGTTTGGCTTGGTGGGCATGGCATGGCTTGGTGAGTGTGGCTTGGTGGGCATGGCAGAGGAAGGATACTGTAAAATCCCCATTCCCTCCCCACCCCACTAACCTGCTTTCCAGCTCCATTCTCCTGTGCAGGGCAACAAAAGAAGACCCAGCCGAACAGCTGGGACTCGGGAGACAGAGAATAGGTGGGGGTGGGGCCAGTCAGAGGTGGTATGCCAAACTACTCAAAATTTCCACTACCGGTTCTCTGAACTACTCAAAGTTTCTGCTACCGGCGCCTCAAACGCTCCCCTTTGCCTCTTAGCGCCCCCCTAAGGCACCCCCCCCAGGGGGCGGTACCGCCCACTTTGGGAACCACTGGGTTAGAGGGACCATTTTCAATCTTTTGTGTTGAGATTATCTCCCAGTGTAAGCAGGTGGCTTTGCTCTCTGCTGGTAAGGACTTGCATTCCCAATGAGCTATTTTCTGTAACAGTGCATTGTTCTGTGATGATGCTAAAAGGGTAATCTATTTTCTAAATCATCATCATTA